TACCATTTGCAGAATAAGCCAACCATTGTATCCCAGCTCCTATTTAAATATTATCATTTCTCTTTTCGATTAGATAATTTCAAATTAAACAGTACTTTAAATATGGTTTATCATTAATGAATTAGGTTAAAAGGTTGTCAAGTTTTCAAATATACAATGCATATGTGCTTACGAAAAGTTACTCAATTAAGTGAAAATAAATTAGACAACCTTCAGCACTTTGCTCTTTTGGTATCAGTGGTGGACTGACACCTTTGGTTTTATAAAGAATCTTTCCATTCTTATCTAATATATGCAAATGATTAGGATTATCATAGTCAGGATAAGATAGAAGTACGTCATATTTCATATAATGCACATCTGTAATGTTAATATTATCAAATAACACATTAATTTTTTTGTTAACTTTTGGGGAAAAAACGAGGAACCAATGTTGCCCTTAAGGCAACTGTTTTTTATTTCATCTAATCTTCAACCCTTATTGCTACTATACTATGCCTTTTCCGTACGCATTTCATTTAACAATTTAGAATTTATTAGAAATGAACAGGAAATTTTTTAGAGTTATGCATTATCCGACAAAATATTGGAAAAGCGTGAAATTTCAAGCCTTTCAAATATCGCCAAAATTGATGTTAGTCAATTAAGTCTCATTCTAACATAATTTAATTTCAGTTCTAAATTTCTTGCTTTTCCCTTTAATTTTTTCCCCTTATCATTCAGATATAATTTTTATGAAATTGAAATTTTACTGATTAAAGTGAATAATTGTATCAACTCATTCATATTAGTTAGTACGGAATTTTCTTTTTTTCGTGATTTGATAATATTGAGGATTTAGAACAAACCAATTTGTTTCATGTAATTTTGATTTAACAAATATCATTCCAAAATTTGAGTAAAATTTTTCGTAGGAAGTTGAAGGTAGCGGTGTTCCACTCTTATCATCCAACAAGCAGAAAAGTGATGGAGCAGGAGCGGATATAGAATGGGATGGATCGGGTGTAAGTCCGGATGATGAAGATGGTGATGTTGTCGAAGGTTCTGGAGCTCATATCGGTTAGAATTTTCATCATTCTTAGTATATTGTTTAAAATATTGAAATAAAGTTTATTTTCAAGAGTAAGATAAATTTTCCACAATTAGCATATCATTGATATCTTCTCAACAACCGTTCACTAGATTTAACTTCTTTCTCAATCATTTGCCTCCAACATATCCTTCTTCTATTACTAAATTATCATATCTTTTTTTATCCTTAATTAAATTTAATTGAACTGAACTCTGAGACAAGAAAAAAATCAGATCTCAACAATATTAAGTCTATTTTTATCTATAGATTTCTTTTAGTCTAACTTATTGCAATAGTTTTATATTCTTTGGCTAATTAATTCTTCAACTTAAACTTCTAGCGCATTAATGGCATCATTTCTGCTTCTTCATCTCCGTAATTAATTTAAAAATAACGAATGAAAATTTGAATTTTTGCGTAGTTTTTCTTTAAAAATAGATTAAAGCTTTCTTGATGCATATCATTTTATTCTATTTCTTTTGTTTACTTCTTATAAATGTACAATTTACGTGATTATTTCATTTGTCATTTATTATTTTCTTTTTCGAATTTTTGTCATCATTAATCTTACCAATTTTCATCGGCAAACAATCATACTGTACACTTTTGTGATTTAAAAAGTGTTGGATTATTTCGGCTAATTTAGAATGAAAAGAATGAAATGGGAGAGGAAGAAAGAGAAAGAGAGAAAAAAAATGATTTCGAAAAGGAGAAAGGAATAATAGATCGTTTAGTGTATTCATCCACTAATTTTTTTTTCCTACTTAACCATATGTACCTTTCTTTTATTTTGTATCTAATGCATTTTGATTAATGATAAAAATCTCTTAGAGAGATAGAGAAAGAAAGAGAGAGAGGGAGAGAGAAGTGCATAGCTTATTGTTTATTATCTCCCCTCAAATTTCAACAAAAAAAACCTGCTCGGTCTTTGAAATTAATCGTTTTTTTTGGTGTAAATTAAATTGAAAAATTGAGGGAGATGTATAGGAAATTATTCATTTACAGTTAACAGTTTCAAATTTCAATTTTCTTTTTTTGCGTTTGAATTATTTAGTTAAGATGTAAAAATTTTAATTTTGATGTAAAATTATAAGCTTAAAATTTTAAACTAATATAATTTTCTATTGTACATGGAAAAGGGATAGTAATAAGAAAAAAATAGAACAGAGTGATTTTTCATAGTGATTTTTCAAGTGATTTTTGTTTGAACATAGTTTGGATCTTATTTTCTATTCCTTCACATTTCTAACAAATGAGTTAAATGTAATAAATTTAAATTTGAAATGTGGATTTATGTATGATTTTCAATATTTCTTTTGCAGATGATATTAGCGGTTCAGATAATTTACCTATAACTAGCGCTACTTCTGTATATCCATCAAATACAACTCGAACAAGTACTCAGTATTCTTCGGTAAGTATTCAATGTTTATATGTCAAACAGGTCTTACTTGCATCATTTTGAATTATATTTTGCTTTAAATTTTTTAAAGTTTTACTTCGATCTATTTTTAAAATTTAAAAAAAAAATGATTTTTAAACCAAAATAAAATAAATATAGTGACAAGTATAATAAGGTTTTATATTTTAGTTCGATATTCATGAATTGGGACTTGAACCGGATGAAGATGTAGCAATTGAAGAGATCCCAGCAGCTACAGTAACTAGCATAACAGTACAATCCTGGACAACAACATCCAGAAGGCCATTACTACCGTTAACACCATTAATCACAAAACAAACAGCACCACCAACTGTATTCGAAGAGAAGCATAACATTCCATTTGACACTTTGCTCAGGCCTGGTGTTCTAGCTGGTAAGTGATAAATGATAAAGAAATGATAATTAGGTTAATGATTGCCATTTTATGACTTTTGCAATACATTTGATTCTTTTAAATTTTCTTTATTTTTTTTTCTTAACTTAATCAAATAATTATATTTTCCCCAAATCGCTTTCTTTTTGGTGGTATTTGTTTGGTCGCTCGAAGTGAACAGACCAAATTTAGTTGACAGCGTTAGCTCTAATTAATCGTCTTATAATTAAGAGACTTTCTGATGGATCTTTAGTTAAGCTATATAAAAATAATAGCATGTGTGTGTGTGTGTGTGTGTATATGTATGTATGTGTGTATGTGTATGTTCGGTTGGGGTTATCTGTTTGTCGCCTTACATTCATTGCCCGTTATAGTTGGCAATACATAACGAGATTGGGTCAGCTCTATAATGATAGATGAATAGATAGGATTGATTGGTTCTCGTCGAAGTGTTTTCGGATGTGCGAAAGAAAGAGCAGAGAGTGGACAATGTCCGAGAAGAGTAAGACAGTCGGAAAAGGAAAGTGATGTTTAGGCTGATTACACACTGTACAAAAGAAGGTTCCCGTCGTGATAACTACTGTTATAAATGAATGAATTGATCGTGATATAATCATGAAAGGAGGAGAGGGGAGAGATAAGTGGTCAAGCGAGGCAATTGTTACGATAACCCGAATATCCTCCTTCACTGTCGGGAAAAGTAGTGGGAGAAGAGAAGAGGATAAAGTTGATAGTAGCAATCATCCATGACCAATTTATTTAGGAAGAATAGCTACGACGGGTCACAATAGCAATGTTTTCTGTTCTCTTCAAAAGATTCATGTGAATCTCAATTGAATTCCATAGGAAGTAAAGTTATATTTGGATAAACCAATCATTCGATGAATTAATTTTAATTTCAACTAGAGTACTCTTTTAATGTTTGCTTCCAAGAAACGAGAAAAAAACGGATCGAACAGAAAACTATCAATTAATAGTAAACATTTAGTTTAGTTTCAGTTCACCAGACTTGTGTATGTAAATGTTTATTATGGGGACTGTTTCCAAAAGATATTTATTAAAGGATAGAATGAATTGTTTCATTTGAGAAGTTGAAAATTTTGATATTTTTTAATGTTCTTCCTTTTAAAAGCTAAATATTGGATGATTCTTCTTTCTCTTTAATTTAAAAAATAGAATGCATATAATTAAGCGAAAAGGATCAAGCAGAAAAAGAATAGAAAATAACTGAGACACTTTTAATGTTGAAATGCAGAAATGCAACTTGCAGATGATATATGTGAAGTTCATGTACAGACGAACATTCCTACTTCAATGTATTGCAAAAATAAATCTTTCAATGGGCAAAAAAATGCTTCAAAGTGAAAAAAGATAAGATTAGGAAAAAAAGAGATGGTGGGAAAAAATTTTTGACAGTATTAAAAGAAATGAGAATGGCAGTTAAGGTCATCGTAAAAGAAGATAAAATGAAGGTCTGAATCTCTAAATTTAGTGATTGTTTGTATTGAATTTGTAATGGCTTTTATATAAATGGTATAAATTCCATTGCGGTAATGGTCTGATATGATGACCTTGGTACCAATTTGAGCATTAGTCCTGTTTGATATTAAACATCTCAAGAGTGATGGGGTCAACATGCCACAATTGTTGATTGAATGATTAACACGTTAATAAATGCCAATTTCATTTTCGATTAACGCTATGAGATATTTATTTATATTTAAAAGTAATTTTTGCATCATTCATTTACATTCTCAATCCATTCAATAATTTCACTCATTTAATTTGAATAATTGATCAGTTGTAAATTCGGCATTTTTTCCTCTAATTCTGACCATTTTACATTTATCCTATGCTCTTTCAAAGAATACCGACCAATTTATTAACGTAATTATAAGATGTGATCTATATCATGTAACATTAAGCTATCCGAGAAATTCCAACAAACATTATAAAATTCATCCGCCTATAAGTGACCGTTAATTTTGTTGCAAAAGAAGTTTAATGGTATATTTTATTCATTAATTTCTCATCTTCTCATATATCAGTTGCTGTCCGCTTACTTTCATCCTAATTGTCAATCCATTCAGTGAAAGAGTGATGAAAATCAAATCAATTCTTTCTAATGTATGAAATGATTAAATTGGGATGAGTGAGAAGACGACAACTCAACGACCCATAAAATCTTTGCTGTCCGATCCTTTCCTTCAACAAAATGTAAAACAGATCATTTATCGAATAGAAAAGAAAACGCTTGAAAATGCTAATTTGTCGCAATAGTGACTCTCCTGTGATACGGTTTTACATTTTCATATTACAAAAAATGTGATAACATCAAAAAATCCATGAAAGATGAGAGACGATGAATCTTATAGATGGATAAATTTATGGTTATCAAGAATGGAAAGGAAATCATGATTACACACTATTGTACCATTAGACATGAAGAAATGATAATTTAAATTTAGGAGAATAATTAAGGACACTTTTTATGAAAGACTATCCGTATAAATTGAGAGAATTTTCGCTAATGTCAACAAGATGATTGGACGATATTTGATCCATGGAAAAAGGAGCCGAATGTAAAAAGCGGATTAGCCTAAGATTACTGAGGCTGTTATAAATGGATGGATAATGATTTAAAATAAGATAGCAAAGAGCGCTTTTTCTAATTATATAACTTCATAGATTGGCAGTATGATTATTGCAATAATGTTTAATTGCTAGCCAAATTATTGTTTGTTTATTTGTGAAATAAAATAGAAAAAGCCGCATAAATTAGTTATAATTTAGGACTAAGGGATATGAGCTATTTGATTGAAATATGCTCTTTCATCCATTCTTAATTTGTAAGGTTAATTTTGTGCTAGTTTGGTGAATAGATAAATTTCGCTAAATGAGATTAATGATTACTATTTGTGCTACCGTATTATAAGATTATATTTACTCTTAGCTATTATTGATTTTTGTTGAACAGGAAAGTTGAATGAGGCCCTACTGTTATTAGCATAGTCGAAAATCTTTTGGTGATTGGAAGTGGTCAGTTTGGCGATGAAGGGAAGAGGTTGGATGAAGAGGAAAGCTAATGACAGAATGGTCCATAGGGGGCCATCGTATTGGGGTGAAAGGAAGGCTCTAAATTTAGTTGTGATGCGATTTTGTCCCGTTTGAAAACAAATTAATAGAAGAATTAAAGGGAATGTATCATCGTATCATCAGTATCGGAAACAGGAAGTTGCGCTAAAAACTTATATTTTTTCAAGATAGAAGAAAAATTTTTAATTTCAATTAAAGAGCAATGACAAATGTTCTGGTAATTTGAATTAAAACTGGTAAATAAACTGAACTTTAAAAAACTTTCGATGATCATAATTGATGAATAAGTATGATACGAAAGTAGGAATTCAACGTGTGAACGAATCATAAGCTTAACATCGAATACATAGGATGGTAGCTGGAAGAGCATTATGAATAATTTTAATTACCACTACGTATCTATTTATCAGTGTACGGCAATAAATTAAAATCGTAAAAATGTTTCTAAAAATTTTAATAATTTTTGTTATAGCAAATATTGAAAATGTTTTATTTCAGCCTTAATCGGTGGCATTGTGGTTGGTATTTTGGCATCAATTTTGTTGGTAATGTTTGTCGTGTATCGGATGCGAAAGAAAGATGAAGGGAGTTATGCTCTCGATGAACCCAAACAACCGCCACATTATTCATATGCCTATCAAAAAGCACCAACGAAAGAATTTTATGCCTAATTATTACTGTTACCATTATTGTGGGAAAGTTAATTTTTCATTTTAAAATTAAATTCTTTAATATAATGCTCGGAATAATGCTACTCTTTCATATTTTTCATTAAATGTTGTCATTGTAAAGTTGTATTTTGGAAGATGAAAAATGAGGATTGCATCAAATTGAATAAGTGGCGATAGATTTTATTTATTGGAAAACTTTTTTGAAGACTCGAAGAGCCCATCAAGCTTTTATGTAATTCGAAATTTATTAGCTTTTTTTTGTCTAAAATGTTAATATAACACAGAATTGCCATGAAGCGTTTTCTATTCAAGTACACTTTTCAAGATTTGCCAGTTTAATTTGGATTGATGCTTTCTCTGCTTAATAAAATTTCCTATTTTTTTTAACTAAAATATCATTTAGGAAAAAATTGTTCTATTTATTATTTTAAAAAAATTGGAATTTTTATGAAGATTGAACTTAAAAGTTGAGTGTTCATAAGAATGCATCCATATTTGTTAATTTCCTTGCTTACTTGTTTGTTTCTTTATTTTTTTTCTAATTTTAATTAAAGTCTTAAGTCAGTCATAACCGACGTGTACCTCACATAATTCTCGTTTTTTTTTTTTTTTAAATGATATCATTTCACTACTAAATTACACTGCATTTTTTTTTTTGTTACTGTTATTGTTAAATTTTTTTCGAAGTATAGTTTATACGGTTTGTTTGATTCGTAACCGATATTAGATCTTACCATCAATGATAAAACGAAAAAAAGAAAAAAGAACCGGTGAATTGCTAGGAATTCTATGATGAAATAATCATAAGAACGCAAATATATGTCATAAAAATTCAAATATCTTAATTTTAATTAATAATATACTTGGTAACAATGAATGTTATGTGGCATGTTAGGAATTTAGCAAAATATGAGACTATATTAATTCGTTGCTTGTATTATCTCTCTTCTGTTTGATGTGCCAGTCTATTATCACCAACCATAAATATGAATGTTATCAAACTTGTCAGTGTATTAGAAATGAAATAAAAAGCACCTTTTCAGGTTCTTTTTAGATCCTGTAAGCATGGATGTATATACAAACCTGTAATTTATGGATGCTTAAAATGAAATTTCTTTTTATCAGGTGTCAATTCTATCCTTGCTTACTAATCTAAACAGATACTTGTAAGAAAAATGATTACAATGCTCAGGATGCATTATTTATCAAATCTCATCATTATCATTGACCATCATCATTATCATCATCATCATCATGACCGTCATCATCATCGTTAATACATTATCATTTGTAAATATGAAATTTGTTTTGTTATTATAATGACAAGATTGTTTTCTTCGTTTTTTTTTATGCATTTGCTAGAAAGAACATTTTCATGATTATATGTAATTTGCATATTTGAGAAAAATTTTTTAATGATACAAATGCAAATAATATTATAAGTTTAAAAATTTATTGCAGACTAAATAAGGAGATATGGAGTTTTTTTTATTGAAGTGATTTGAATTTTTATTGAAAAATTGTAGGTTGAAAGATATGTGTTGTAGATATGTGATAGTAGCAGATGATCGTTAAGTGAAAATATTTATATGGGAGTGAGATAGCTTTCCAGTGATTATCATTGTTAGCATCAGATAAATAAATGAGTAAAGAAGGAATAATATGTGATAAAATCGGAACTCTTTTTTCAAGTAACTTTGATATTTCTACCAATCGAGACATTAATGTAAACATTTTAGTGGCATCGAATGATGATTTATGAATGATGAAATCGTTGATGATATGATGGTGGGTGTTCATTGAGGAAATGAGGCAATGTCCCCTAAATTACCTTTTATTATATTTACAGCCTGCTTGGACAGAAACAGATGAGGACATGAGAATCATAACGGGAAGGCAATAATTGATGAGAATATAAAATTTTAGGGATCATTTTATGCTAACTATCATTCTTGCTAATAATATTTCAAGTTTTACTAATAAATGAATGATTCAGGGAAGTAAAATATCAGTTAACTTGCTGATTAAGTATTAATGGATTGTAGAAATTAGATGGATTAAATGAGTTATGATATATAAAGTTTGTTTTAGATTTCGATTGGACCGACTTTGTTGAAACAATGCGGTTTGTCGTAATTCGATTAAACCTTAGACATAAGGTAAGAGATGAGTAAATCATTTATTACAGTAACTATTTGCAACCGGAAGTTTGCTTCTGTATTATTATTAGTAGTGCCAGCATTGCTAATTATTAATTATTATTATCATCATTACTTCATTACTGTTATCATGATTATTATTGTCATTTTTTGCAAATTATTTCTTTTCAATGTTTCTTCCCCTTTGTTTAACTGAAATTTCTTGCACTGTTTTGATCGATATGAATTGATCTGTTTGAAATTGGATTAGTAGTTTTGAAATTGAATAATTCTGTTATTTTAGTAGATTTTTTATCAGTATCGCCGGAATAATGCTCGAAAAATTGTGGAAAATACGATTAATATTCCGATCAGAGAATCTCTTTCATTTTACGGAAAAAATATTCACCAAAACATCTTTCTTTTTTTGCAAGGAAAAAACTCCTACAAAAGTGAAGCCTAGAAACAATTCACTTATTATCAGTCCCGAGAGCTTCTGATAACTCTCCTCATCAATATCATATTTCCCTGATCATGCGTCCTATAATAGTGCCTAGTTCCAGTGAATTAATTGATTTGTTGATTTTTTTCTATTTGTTTATTCATAACTATTTACTGTGTGTTATACATAACAGACATTTTTGATGTCTGCTTTGTTTCCATAATTTTTCCAAATTTTTATTTTTATTCTTTTCAATTTTTTTTCCATTCCTTTCTCTTCTTCCAGTGTACTTTTTTGGTGATGTGTTATGTGTATTAATTAATTAATGACTGAATTCTTACTATATAATGAAGAAAAAAAGAAGAAATAAAGAAATATTAATATTACCCCGTTTTTGATACTGTTAAATGCTTGTAATCATTCTTACTTAGCACATATTGCAAATCTCATTGTGTATTTTCTCACGAAATTCCGTGAAAGTGAGAATGAGATCTTGAGAACTGAGTGATAATTTAATAGTGAAACTGGTGAAGGTCAGGGTAGAAATGTTCAATTTTTGATCGAAGAATCATGCGAAAACTGAATATTTCTATTTTACATGCAAAATCTCGATAGTTAGATAAAGCGTAACGTAATTTAGATTGAAGAATCAGTGAGAATGGAATATTACCATCTCTCATCGATTTAAATCGGGAAACATCCGAGATTTCATGGTGAAAAGCTTGAGGTGGCAAATAGTTTGATGTTAAACATTCATCGTTCATATCCCTCTTGTTAAATTAATTTAAGTTAATTTTTTGCTATTTACAAACTCTGAAAATAAAAATGTATGAAAGAATGCGCTATGAGCAGTAACATTTCACATTACATCATTGCTAACGTTTTACCAAATTTCAATCTTTTTCACATTTCCTAACTTACACATTGTTTGCATTTTCGCGTCTCATGTAACATGTCACGTCTTCCATCTACGTTTAACAAAATAAAACACAGAAACGACAACTGAACAATTAATTGTGAGAATTTTTTCTCACTTTCATGCTAAAAATGTAATTTGTGTTGCAATACGTTTGGTACGTGTCTTATTTAAGATTGGGTATTGTGCGTGAAAAGATTGTAAAGTGTGTTAGTGTAGTATTGGAATTTTGTTTAACTTTCTCTCTTAATAGCTTAATCTTTTCTGTTTTCTAGCTTAATATCATTTTTAACTTTTGTTTGCAGACAGAGAAAGAAAGTGGAAACGATGAATGATTTATTACACATTTCTTGTTATCTTTCCACTCATTCTGTTTGTAATTTTAGCTAAGCTGTATCAAATACAATCGAAATCTCTTCATTGTACCGCGATATATTCCCCGAATCCTCTGTCATTTGTATACCCATCAATAAAATATCATGTTCATTTGTTTTATTGAAGTAAGCATTCTTGACGTGAAAAACATTAGGTAAACATGTAAGTTAGAAGATTTGTATTATAATTGTGCTATATTTCATTGGAAATTTGAATCGGGAAATGTACCAGATAGAAATTTTATAGGTTCTTGTATCGTTTCCGTCGTGTTTATATGCGTTTGTTACGATCTTTTATTATTGCTTTGAACAGGTTATTTAACTTTGACATATTTTGTTGCATAACAAATTTTCGTTCCTATGAAATCAGTGGAATATTACTGCTGATTTTGAAATATTTTCTTTTATGTCTGAATGGTTTTGACTATCAAAATTTTCAATTTCATCTAATCTACAGAAATAACGGAAAGAATGAGCGCTGGTAGTATTCAAAACGCTGAAGATTTAAAAGAAAATGGCAATATTGCTTTCAAAAACGGTCAATTAAATGAAGCAATCGATTATTATACGGAAGCATTAGTGTTAAATCCGGAAAAAAAATTAAAATCAACGATATATCGAAATCGAGCGATGGTACGTTTACGGATGGATGATTTTGAAGGTTGTGAAATGGATGCTACTCAAGGTAATGAATTATAATAATATATTGATTTTGGAACATTTTTGGCAGGGCTTATTTTAGCATTATATTCATTTCATGATGGGATGTTGTGGACAATTTTGACTATTATTTTTTTTGGAAAATTATATTGCCTTTCTTTTATGTTTAATAGAATTGATATTACAGTTTTTTTTTTCTTTTTTTTATAGCATTGGAATTTGATGGTGCTGATGCTAAAGCACTTTACAGACGGGCTTTGGCACGAGAAAAGATGGAAAATTATAGTGGAGCTGTTATGGATGCACGAAATGCACTGAGATTGGAACCTAAAAATAGGCAATTATTTCATTTAATTTGTAGTGCTAAGGAAAATACGTCAAGCAACACTAAACATGTTCTCATAGTTATAAAGATTCATTAGACTTAGATGTCTGTAAACAAATCTATTATAAAATTAGTTAGGTATTTG